CCCTGAGACCCTGACCCTGTCACCCCGTGGCCACAGCAGAGGGTCCCCACGGCCTCTCCGGGGCCCCTTGTCGCCCTGTGACCTGGGATGTGTGCAGGCGGCGCCCTCACAGGCTGGTGCCCGTCTCAGCACAGCAGGGACATCTGCCTCTGCCCCTTCCCTCGCCGACCTCACTCGCACAACGCGTCCCTCTGTCTGTCCATCGAGGCCACTGCTGACTCTCCCACGTTATGGGCAGCCAGGCTCCGGGAGGCCCTGGGTGAGTGTGGCCCACACTGGGGTTCGCATTGAACCTGGACCGTCCTCCTGGCCCCTCCCTACAGGGTGAGGGGTGGGGACCCGTCCTGCAGAGGGACCTGTGGGGCCTCGTTTGGGGCAAAGTCACTGCAGCCCTTTAGAGAACAGCCCTTCACAGGGAGGGGGTGGGGGTGGCCCTGGGACCCTGTGGCTCCAGCTGCCTGGGCTGACAGAGGTCACTGCAGGGTCAGCCATGATCCTTCCCCTCCTGGTCCTCCTACTCCTCCTGCTCCTCCTGTTCCCTGTCCCTCCTGAGAGGCCGGGCTCCTGCACCATCTCTCAAAGGCCTGGGCAGAGAGGGAGCCTGCCCTGGCCCCACAAGCAGAGGCCCTGGCACAGCGGGAGGAGTCAGGCCCTGCTCCAGGCTGGTCCTGCTCAGACCCCCTCACAGGCCCCGCCTCCCTCCTGGGCCCCCACACTGCGCCCCCCACGGGCTCATGGCTCTGTCCTGCCTCCCCGAGGACCAGACGCTTCCTGCTCAGCTCCCGTCCTGCCAGGGCCCTGCTTCCCTCCACGGAGCAGCGGAGGCAACAGGCGACGTCCAAGGTCTCCCCTGCAGCCCAAGGCCTCTGTTCCTTCCCGAGAAGAGCCCTGGACGAGAGCCCAGGCCCTGTGGCTCCTGGAAACCTGGTCAGCGCAGCCCAACACTCAAGGGTACGGTCTGCGGGGCCTGGTGTGGTCTGTCCCAGCTCCTGCCCACAGCAGTGGGGGGATAAGAATGTAAGTGTCATGGCCCCCTTTTGCTTCTCCCTGTGGCGCCTTGGGGAGGAGGAGGGGGAAGGGTGATGGGTTTTGACAGGAAATTGTCAGCATCTCAGCACCCAGGAGAGGGACAGGGAGCAGGTCCCGAGTCCCAGTGAGGAGCAGACAGAGGGAGGGAGGTTTCAGCCCCACTTCCCGTTTGTGTGTGTCACTGTGGAACCCGTATTGGCCACTAATGCTATAGTCTGCACCACAGATGTACTCAGCCTCGTCCTCAGACTGGATGCTGGAGATGGTTAAGTAGCGGTCGGCCCCAGAGCTGGAGCCTGAGAAGCGATCGGGGATCCCGGCCCCCTTGCCCTGGCTTCCAGAACTCGTAAGATACATGATGTACCGAGGGGCCTGTCCTGGTCTCTGCTGATACCAGTGAATAGTGCAGGTGCTGTACTCCTGGCTCAGGGTGCAGGTGAGCTTGGCCGAGGCCCCCGGGGCGGCAGAGGCAGATGGGGGCTGGGTGAGCACAGGATCAGCACAGAGACCTGCGGACAGAAAACACAAGAGCGATGCCCACTGCACCCCGATGAGCAGGCGCCCCTGGGACTGAGCTGGAGGGAGAATCGGGGGCAGGACCCCAGGGGCTGTGGCCGCTCTGACCTGTGGAGACGACGAGGGGCAGGAGGTAGAGGGGAAGCCAGGCCATGGTGGGAGGGTCCTGAGCGCTGCCTGCGGCTGCCCAGCTGGCACTGGCCCTGCCAGCTCCTGTCTTATCCTCTCTGCCTGCAGCTCAGGGGGGAGGAGCAGGGATGCAAATCTGCTCTCTGGGCCCAGCCAGGGTCTGTCTCAGCTGCTGGCCCCGCCCTGAGCCCAGGGCCTCCTGCGGGGCCTCCCCTGGGGCAGAGGGCAGGTGTGGGTTTCATTGCTAAGAGCTGGTTGGCCCAACAGAAGGGTCTTCAAAGGAGCTCAGTCCTGCTCTTTGCACTTGACACAGCCCAGGGGACTCTGACCTCTAAAGGCCTCAAACCAGGACCACAGCGCCCCCTGGTGTCCCCAGGGTGCATATCACCTGCCTGTGCAGCTGGTTCATCACCATGACAGCTTCTGAGAGCTTCCTGGAGGCTGACAGGTGGGGAGTGTGTCCCTGGGCCCCTCACTCAGTGTCATAGGAGCCTACACCCTCCTCTGCTGCGGGCCCCAGCCTCTCCTCAGGCCAATGAGGAGGGAGCGTCCTGGGAGGTGAATGATTTTCCCAGAATCCCCCAGACAGAGATGATGGGTCAAGACTCCAATGCAGGAGACTGACCTCAGAGCCTGACCTTCAGCCCCTCCCTGCCCTGCCCCCACCAGGCCCCACACCCCGTCTTCCCCTCATCCCAGCCTCCTGAGCCCTCCTGTCCTCGCCTTCTTTTCTCTATTCAGATGTCTGTCCTCCCTGAATCTGGTCTGAGCAGAGCTCAGATCCTCACAGTGTTGGCATCGGTGTTTTCAGGGAAACATGGATCTGTATGTGGACTGAGGTGGGGACACTCCCCTCTCCATATCCAACAGCACAGGCTCCTGTGTGAAAGGGATGTTGGGAATCACGTCCTGCTTAGGGCCCGTGTAGGGTAGGATTCTAACAGTTTGGACCAGGATTGCTCTTCTGACCTGGCCAAGGCCATTGAGTGTGGAGCAGGGTCAGTACAGGAAGAGGAAGCCTTTGGTTTTATGAAGCACATTTGGTAAGAAACTGTGTGAGGACTGAGGTGGGGACACTCCCCTGCTCCCTCCAAGGCTGAGTCCACGGGGTCGTGTGTCCAAGGCACATGGAATCATGTCCTGCTTAGGGCCCGTGTGAGGCCAGGCTGCTAGTCGTTTGGACCAGGATTGCTCTTCTGACCTGGCCAAGGCCATTGAGTGTGGAGCAGGGTCAGGACAGGAAGAGATAGCCTTTGATTTTATAAAGCATATTTGGTCAGAAAGCGGGTTTCACCTGATATCCTGAAGAAATTTAAGTTTTCAACCCTCTCACTGTTAGGAATATAATGTTAATAATTCACTCCACACGCTGGCAACGCTGCACATGGAAATGAAGTGGGAGCCTTGGGGCTCGTGACCACGTGGGAG